TAACAGCCTTAGCGGATTGAGGAGAGCAGATCCCTCGATAAGAGATGATCATCGGTTGGTGAACCAAAAAGTCGAGATCACAACCGATGGTATGTAGGGCTGAGATTATGGCGAGGGAATATTCATCGGCACCATACTTCTGCTTCTTCTCATTCCACAGTCACTCCACACCCATCCGAGACTATGCTAACGTCCATTACAGTTGCACTTGTTCGTGGTTCGAACCCGAGCTCTGCCTCTCGACTTTCCCTGTCTAGGCTTGAACAACCTGGCAGGCAACCAACCCTCGTGCAGCCTTCGGGTGGCGTGACGGTTAGGCACCGGAAGGGTGTTCCAGCTGAACGATAAACAGGATAGGTTTTCAGTTGGTTTAGGCACCGGAAGGGTGTTCCAGCTGAACGATAAACAGGATAGGTTCGGTTTCAGTTGGTTCGCTCTGATAATGTTTTCCAACGAATGAATAAACCGCCCTAGTCCGTCTACTCTCGTTTTGTTCTCATTCACCAGGTTCTTCCGATGGTACGGAGGGAACTTTGCGGTCGAGATCCTCGGGCTATGTGCGGTTGGGTGAAGGTTCGGTGGAAAGTGGTGGCCACGGAAACAGCTCCACAGATGTGCCAAGTGAGTATACCTCATTTACAGTCTACCCTTCCAGTATGCCATCTTGCTATGCTTTAACTACATTAATCTTACCACGGGAATGCGGAAATAAGCAACTCCAATGGAATGGGCATTCCATCCTGGCCAGTCAGCACGCGACCCTGAGATATGGACTCCGTAATTGAAGAATGAGAGGCGCCATGTCCTATCCATGTTTCGACTCACCACATTATTGATTAGCAGCTCATATCTTAACGGTAAAATGTCCAAACTACTTGCTGGAAACCCTCTGAGTTTCATTGCTGATGATCTCCAAGAAGGGTGAAACAACTGTACAGTGCTCGTCTGCTTTTTGGCACAGATTGGGTGCACTCATTGGATGAAATCTTTGTTGAATATGAGAAAACCATTTGTGCACCATGGATTTATTGACATGAAGATCAGATAACCATACGTCTGTCGCATCTTCTCACGCTTAATTCAGCGCCAATTTGTTTGTCCCCCTTTCGTACAGTACCGATTCATGCTTTCATTGAGCCATTTCCTGAGCAACACTCAAGTGAGGTGGCGTCTAGTTCAAGTGTGGAGAAGGATTCACATAAGGGCTATCCTCTTGTGAGCAGTATTCCAACAACCACACCCACTAGCTATCAGCTGGTCATCTCAGATAGCATCGCTAAGCCCACCTTCGTCGGCATTCGCCCCACTGCAGCCGAATTGCCCGCTTGTTGGCGCCGGTTGCTCAACTACGTCGACTTGTATACCACCGTCCCGAAAACAAAAACTGTCATGCGTAAGGTGAGTTACTGTTTTATTTTAGAGACTTTCGAACGTTATTTTAGCTTTTTTATTTCACAACGGGTGGTAGCACATTGTATGACAACAGAAAGTGCAGTTCGATTCCTTGTATTCTAGCCCCCGTCCACAATGCCAACGATCACTGAGGATGACTCCGACGTTCGGTGGTTACCTGCCGGTCGATCTAGAGCCGCCTTTGAAGGGAACACGACAAGTTCACAGGAGGCAAGCACACCGCCTGGTGCTGTCACCATGAAGGTACGCTCTGGCTTTTTGAATTACGCTGCATAGTTTGCAAACTTTTTCGTAGGAAATGACTCGAATCCCAACAGTAGAAGACTGACACTTCTCCCTAGAGTGGAACATTCGCTTGCTAAGTGATACAGTGTTCGTGGGCGGTTTATATGTATTCCTCCTCCACGGTATCCTTCGACCTAATCTGTCGGGCGAGGAATCCAACCGTGGTCGGAAGATTTTTACCAACCCCCATCGTAGGAAAGAGAAATACTTCTATTTTGGCCTATCGGAACCCGTGGGCCAGTGTTGCGCAGTAGATTCGGATGAATAATATCGTAAACGGATGCTCCCATTAACCTGACAAATAGCTTCTTATCAAGGAAAACATCCGGTATATCGCCTTGCTGATTTTCATCACCATACGCTGGCAGATAAATGGAGTGAACTTGGGTGGTCCCTACCAAAACAGGAAACTGCTTTGCCTGTCAGCTGCGTTCCTGACTGGTTCGGCGCATGGCTGTTCTGTTGACATGACATGCTCGGTTGTTCCCATTGGTCCATTATGCAGTCGGATATTCGCTGCGTTTGATTCTCTAGTCATGCATACTTGAGAAGACACCTGTTGCAGCTCACTCCTGTCTCCACTCCATTATCTCTGTTAGGGTTCCCCATAGGGAACTTTGAGTGACGCGTAAGTTGGACGATCCCGAATTTCAAAGGGAAGAATGGGGTTCGAAATTCTACGGTACTACTTGTACAAGGGTAATCAAGTGCACACAACAAACCTCAATTGTCCACGTTCGTAGCGTCACGGCGAACACAAGTCTATCATTGACCGGCACCGTACAGTGTCAACGTCCGAACAACAGCGAGCGGAATGTTGGCTCACTAGTGTGGGTTGAGGTCGTCCCTTCCGACGGCGGTTTCGCGGTTCTCATCAGCGGTGCAATCACACGGAACTCATGGGGGGAAAACAAGTTAAGGCAGGCGCGGCAAACGGTACTCGAATACTCATGGGTAGGTAGGTCAGCTGCACAAATTCACGCATATACATGGTAATACACAAGTGTCGGACGGACGGCCTTTGCGTCAACGCGAGTTGCTGGTACAAAGTGCACCATGAGTGGAGTACATAAGCAGAGTAAGCAAATGAAGGGGGGAATTATCTTGAAGTCAAGTTATATTGGATAACCTCAATGTCAGAAAAGGACTCTCCAACGAGAAGCACAACCGAGCTTTATTCCAAACAAATAAATGCGAAAGTTAGACAGGTCCTCGCGGTATTTGGGGCGCACTTTCTAACTTCATCCAGTTTGCCTGATCGGCTTTGGGTGAACACTCCTCATAGTCGGTTGTTGCTTCTGCGATGTGCCCGAACACGCTTTATCGTAAACCGTGCTTCTATGGCACGCCTGAACACTCGTCATCGTCAGCTGTTGCTGAATTGATTGACTGCTTGAGCGTCCAATCTACAGCTGGCTTTTCTAGCCCAGATGCTTGGTGGTGGCGTTTGAGGGACTGTTTTCAAGACGATATCTTTTCGTAGAACTGATCTTTTTTCGTTATTTGTCTGTCCTGGACTTCAGCCCCAGTCTATCTAGGTCGTATCAGTATGCATTTTCCTGTTTTTATGACATTTCGGTTTTACGGTCCTCCTGGTAACCTGGCTCACTTATTCGTTGTTATGCCCAGTCTAATTAAAATGTCCCATCTTCCGTTTCCCTTCCCTAGCCTATTCTCCTCGGAAGACGGCTTCTTAGCACTGTGAGCTATCAGCCGCTAAATGAAGACATCGAAATGGGGCACATCCCTACTTCCACAATGGCAACGAGACCTTCAGAAGTTTTGCAAATAAGCACACGACCCGCCGCTCCCCCCTTGTCAACAGACCAAGTATCCTCAACGGGAGTAAGTCCAGGTTTGTTCACTTCCGAAGATGGTGCACCAAAACCCACAGCCCCATCTCCTCTACGCTACACAAAGGAGCCTTTGATCTCATCTACTGCCATGGAGCAGCTCACTCTTCCATGGGTATGCAGCGAACGCATGCCGCTCAAGATTTTTGTGTCCACGAAGATCCAGCAAGTGGATGTTAGTGCAGTTCTGAGCGAATTGAATCTGATCGCCGGTATTGGTGACGTCCATGGATCGATGACACACTCGACGCGCATTCGCGGACGAGGTAAGCTGGTTCTTTTTTCCCTTGTTCGTGTAGGCTACCTTTGTATGAGATATAGTTTTCAGTGCAATCATCTTTAATCAACATTAAAACTGATACATTAACGGGTGACTTGGACCCATGCGAAGAATTCTTGGCCTCGCCTTTTTAGTTACTCTGATCAGCTGCGGGATGGGAGGTTCATCGTCAACACTCAACCCGACTTCTGCCCTCGACTTCCCCTGTCTAGGCTTGGGCAACCTAGCAGTATCCCGGCCGTCGTGCAACCTTCGGGTGGCATGGCAGTTAGGCACCGAAAGAATGCCACGGCTGAACGATTTTTTTCAACACTCATCACGAGTATTGTAGCCTTGACTTAATACTAAAACGAACATATTGGCTACCCGGTTTGACATTTCACTGTACAGCTTCGAATGATGATTAGAAATTCGCTGCTGTGAATTCGAAAATTCCGTTTCCTTGTCGAGCCGACCACACCTGATATGGTATCGTTCTTTAACAGGTGACCGAACGCACTTAAATAAGATGGAGTTTATTTTTCATAAATTAAACTACTCACAAGGTTGCTGAAAACTCTTCAACCGTCCATGACCGGTTTCGCCCTTCTTGGGGACTCATCTGGTAGGCACAGTTTCCAAGTTTCCGTGAATCTTCTGTTCTACTTGAAAGTGGTTTCCCTTATGGAAAATACACTTCAATATCTCGAATATCGTAATAACTGAAACATCAATTGGCCTTTGGGCAACACATTCAGTTGAACAATACCACAAACGTGAGATTCAGTTGAGTCTTCCGTAAAAACCAAATTGATATACAAATGGGTATATTTGTCGAAAGATGGAGTTTAGTTTCCACATGACGATTCTATGGTAATAAAAGAGGAAGCGCTTGAAAACTCTTCTGCCGTATGTCTTGCTTACCATGGTAAATATTCTTTCGCAATCAAATAACAAGCGAACAGAGGCGCAGTTTATGGATCTAAATATCTTCAAATTTCCCCGTGTTAAGGATCAGTCGTTAAAATAATGTTTTGTTGTTTGGTCGCCTTCAGACAAGCTATACGGGCAATAATCCTTCAACCCACAAAAATGCAACCGTGTTGCGTGGTTTTTATTCCTGTTTAAGTGACATTTCGCTAACTCCTCAGAATTGGAACATGGATTACCCAATCCATAAGCTAACTGGTTTCCAGCAGAATGTAATACGAATGATTAGTAACACGATGTTCCCAGTGTAAGACTTTTAAGACCAGTCGGAATGGAATGTCAAACACATTGACGAGCCCACCACCTCAGAAATTCGAACCTTTCCGTGAGCGGTACTCAGGGAAGCTATGGTAAGTGGTTCTGACGATTGTTATTCAGCATAGGGATGACACATGCTTCCTTACTATGGAATTTCAAGTTAGAACAAACGTTGGCCCATGCACCGAGGAGTGGAGAAGTGCAGCCAACCTGACTTATTCAGAGGCTGCTAGTAGCGACACCCACTAAATGACACGTGGAGACACTGAATTTGAAGTTCTACTCATATGGAGCACAAAATGGTGCCTCCTTCTCTACTCTTGAGATACGAGAGGATAAAAATACCCTGGGTGGAAGCACTTCACCAACGCCTAACAGGAGTCATCAGCTGGAGTATTCTAAACCAGAGGAACAGGTTCGCTAACCCGATTCACACTTGTCCCAAATCCCTCGATCCACTGACGAACAAGTACTCCTAGCCGATATTCAACTCTTATTTTGTGTATTAGTCGAGGGCGATCACCTTAAAGCCTGGTAACCATCGCACTTGGCCCGACAAGACTTTTGTGTCATGAGCGAACATTTGCCCACCAACAAAACCACGTATTGTTTACCAAGGGAACAAACGATATACCGCTCCACCCCGAGTGTACATGGAACAACCCATCTCACTAGATTGGTCACCAACTAGGCTAGTTGCTTGATTCCTTAATGTGGTGCCCAGTACATGGGTGACGAGTTATTCCGTACGTTTTACACGTGTTACGATTGCCTGTACAGGCGGTTATGACGAATTACCAATTTGCTATGAAATTCTTAAACTTGTCAATATGCACTTCAGGTTAATTTTGTCGAACGACAGTTAAACAGAGCTCGATACCATTCACTTTCAGGGTACTTCGCTGACCAAGTGTCGGAACAGTGCTTCTTGATTCACTGCGGCGAAGGTCAGCTGCAGTTGCTCGAAAGGTTGGCGTTACAGCATATTCAGTAAGTTTCCTCCCAAGGACTATCTGTTTGATTTCTGCACTGTTGATGAAAGACTTATCCAGGGCGGCTGCTGAATTTTTACTTGATTTACAAACCAGCCCTAAAGAATTATCGCTCCAAATCTAGGCCTGTCTGAACTACTGCGTGACCGGAAATGATCTCGCTCGGGATTTTTCCAAAAAAGGTTGATCGACATCATCTCACTTACTGGAACCAGTGGCGCCATTGTGCAGTCGAGATGGGCCACTATCAGCGGGTTATTTATTGACTTAGCTCCTCCGAGAAACTTTACCAGGAAATAACTTCTGGATTATTTTTCGGGACTAACCACATCCTACTCTGCAAGTCTTTTTTCGGTTCTGGATGACATTCCCCATCCGACAGCCGTTTTTACCGTTACTTTTATCAAATTTCTTCTCTTTCATCATCAAGGCAAGTGGTTCGTATGAAATCCGGACGGTCGTTTTCCATGATTTCCTGTCGTCGAAGTCGTCAGACTGAGCGAAACGCATGCGTGCTCAGTGTTGGTCACGTTACCATCACCCTGCCACACCACCCAGTCCGTTTGCACGGAGTAATGCAACGACAGGCCAAACGCATCACATCCCGTGTTAACGAGTTATTGCGATCTTCGCCCGCCCCACGTAACCAATTGCATCCCAGGTGAGTGTGTAGACTTCCGCGCTCCAGAGCGGGGCGATTCAGTTGCAAATTTATGCGGGCCTACACACCGATACGTCCCTAAACTACGCCGAACTGCTGACGTTTGCAGTTAATTTGCCCAGCTCCGTGAGCAGAGAAATAGTTATCTGTACAACCTGTGCCATCAGCATTCCCCGCGATAAAAGCCTAGGTCAACCGACAATCTGTAACAGTTAGGTCCAGATTTTCTATCTGCGTGGATACCTGGCCGCCTGAATAGAAATTCGGGGTTTTCGTGGATTACCTTGGACACACTCCTGGGTTCTGATAATGTCAGTTTAAACTTTCAGCCGGCAGTGGTTGCTGACTTTCATTGCTGCGTTAGTTGCATTTGCTTATCGGCGTTCACACAAGCCTAGATAGATCGCTTACACTAATTTCTCGCCTCAGTTGTTGAGGATACCCTCCGTTGATTTTCCTCAGCGTTCCTTTTCTGTGAAGAGCGCAAAGAAGTCAGATGTGATCACCAAGGTACTGTGGGTTGCGAACTTATACCAGCCAGTTAACTTTTCGGTTCATCATTTACACCGAATCACTAAACGTTAACGAGGTCCGTATAAGCACATGATAGGGTTGCATTCTCACTTTTTGTTGCCGCTTTTTCTCCACGAGTATTTCCGTAGCATGATACATCGTCCTTTTTGATAAGCGCTCGTGTTTCATTTCACTGGACTGCCTTTCCCCTATAGGAGCATACCCGAAGTCAGCACTTCCGCTGCGTCACGACCTGTGCCTACGCCCACGACAGGCAGCACTACCACAACCACGGCAAGCGATGCCGCATCTCAGCTCCGTGCCAATCGTCTGTCAACTGCACCCACTGAAGGTCCCACTGCGATGGCGACCGCAACCGCTGTGGTCAAGCCATCCAATCCACCACTTGTGTTCAGTCTAACTGCTGTGGCGCAAGGCTTGACAGTGAATGTTGCATTGCACCCGACGTTAGCTGCGGTCTATAACGTACGTCAAGCACCAGTGCTTTTTCTGTAGTTAGAAAGGTGTCACGTCTGCTGTTGTGTTTTACTCGAAGATAAATTTGACAGGGTGGTCAGGATGACCAATAATTTATTGATTAAACTCACGTGTTTAGTGTAATTGGTAATCCATCTTGCCCCATTCCTCACATGATTTTTTGTTTTAGATGAATCCTGTCTATTTTGTCGGTTTTTTGGGACCTCGCGGTTATGTGGATATCGACCTTTCCGAACACTCAATTAGCCTCAAATCTATGGTACGTCTGACTGCTTTCCGAGAATTACTCCTGGTCTCTTCTTTTTTAAATTATCGTTCGCTCATCGCCCACCTGGTTTTCTTTCAGTGTCCACCAGAGAACTTTCCTCATTCGATAAAAATCGCTCTGCCTCGCGTCTCAACCACCGTCATTCGACGCAAATCGTCCGGTGGACAGTACTCTCGTGGCGAACGTAAACAACCCATTTTAACGCGTGGTCTAACCGCTGAGCAAGGAATGTACGTTCATGTTCAAGTGAAAATTGGGGCGTTGGAACAAACACTGACAACAGACCTCCTCAACTACATTGTTGTTGTATTCAAGCTCTTCATGAAGGTAAGTACTATCGTTTTGAGACCCAGCCTGTTCCTGGCTAACACCCCTCTCTGAGCTTCCTTATCTCCTGATTTCAAAGGGTATATCGATGCCCTGTGCGAAGGCTTGTGAATTGGGATATTGGAATTGACGGTGGTTCAAAACGAAGGTAGCACAACTGTACGGTGTTTATCAGCTTCCTAGCAAGACCAACCGAGCGTAACTGGGAGTGGTTTACATTGAGCTATTTCGGAACGTTGCATGTCTTCTTTGTTCGCGGAAACTGTTGGAGACAGTGCGCTTCATTCCCGTAGCCCCCGGTTTAAGTAGGCTATTTTCAGTCCAAGTACACCTCTGTACGTGGGTTGTAAACAAGACCTTTTCTGAATGGGTCTTGGCTGCTCCTGTTTGAGCTTGAGCAACCTGGTAGTATCTCAGCCCTCGTACTACCTTCGAGTAGCACGGCAGCTACGCACTGAAAGGATGTCACACCTAATCGATTATTATTATTATTATTACAGTTTAAAAAGCGGCGATCCCGAAACGCATCCTACACTTTGCTGTTTTAAAGGAACTGATTGGCTTCACTGTCCAATATGATGACCGGAGTTACGACAGGCAGCTCTGTCTGACTAGCCTCAGCGATAGCATCCCAGTCCCATGTTGATAGACTGTGTTGCTTAATACAGTAGGACACTGAGTCCGGTATGAGGAGTATAGATGGTCATTGTTGGTACGTTGGGTTCGGTGTACACCTGGGACTGGGCCGTTTGATGTTTGTTCGATCCAGTTTTGTGCTAGAAGTATGTTTATTAACGCTTCCGTGAGCTACTGAAGCGCGGGTACCATTAGTGGGATTCTTGAATAGGTTGTATCAACCTTTACTTTGGAAGGTCTCTTCATCATTCATTACCCTCACCAGGAAATCAACGAAGTACTGCAGAAAATGGCCGGTGATGAACAACAGCCCGTGGAATCGAAGTCTCGTTTATCTGTTTTTCCTCGTGGTCCTTCGACTAAATCTTCAGGTCCATCGAACAACTGGCTTTTGAGCAGGGCAGCTCGAGGAAGCGTGAAGTTTACTGTAAGGTATGTGCATTCTTCCATCGGTTGCTATCTTGTAAGTAAATCAACCAGTAGTTTCTGTCTACTCTTATTTTGAACGGTACTTCTTCTACTCTCAATTTCGACTCGGGGTCATTGTTTCTCCTCCACGCATGGTCGACGTCGTTTGTGAACAGTCTATGTGGTGTGAATCATAGATTGAATTCCGTGCAATGAGTTCGCTTCACACAACAGTCATCTGGAAATCATTTGGGACCACAAAACTGTACCACCTTTTTGGAGATTCAGCCCAAAATGAAGTCGTAACAGATCAGTTTTGCGAAAGTTATGTTTCCCAACCAGCTTTACGTCATTCGTGAATCCGTACTCATAATGGAGTCTTTGTGATTGAATTATTCTGCTGTTCAATTGTTGGTGTTCCGCGAACAAGTACCGAGTGTGTTAGGATTCTGCTCAATACTACCAATAAGTTTGATGCAAACTTTGGACAACCTGCTACAAGTTTCGCCCGTCATCAGTATCATTCGGCCGGTCCAGTCCTCGAATTTCCACTTATCTTATTTCGTCCTTGAACATCAAATTGTGTGCATGTTCTGATTGGTTGCTTTCTGCATGGGTATGATGCGGTATGTTAAACACCATATATTTTGAGTTCCAACTCTAGTGTATCTGAGTTTCTACGTTCTACTGCGTATTTTATTTAAATCCCACAATCTGAAAGTTTATTTCTGAACTTCCGTTCATTTTAGTCGTTCACAAAAATCCAGAAAAGATATTGACAGTGGTCTTTGGGTTGTTGGCTAGTACTCAGTTGTTTTCATCCACTTCACCGAACTTCCTCCGTTTCATAGCCGGTGGTAATACTTCTAAGTTCTTCCTATTTTTTCCTCTTTAGTCTCGTTGTTACTGAATTTAGAAGTCGTTCCAACGACTTCCTTGTCGGAGTTACTTACTAAATGACATTTAGAAACAAAAGTACAAAATCGCTAACGCTGTTTGATAGCTCGCACGTTTTTGTGATCTGTCTTGGTGTGAAAAGTCATTTACGATTCCTGGTAAATACACTAACAGCCAGTGGCTTAGAAGTTGTGTTCAGGCAAAGGAACAACAGATGGCCATGCTTCAAACTGATATAGCTCAGTGGTTAGAGCGCGAATTCACTGACCGGAATGTCCGTGGTTCGAATCAGACCTCTGCCTCTCGACTTTCCCTCTCTAGGCCCGGACAGTCTGGCAGTAGCCCAGCCCTCGTGCTTCTTCCGAGTGGCATGGCAATTAGGTGCCGAAAGGGTACTACAGCTGAACGATTTTTTTGTTATCCAGCAGCTGTGGGAGTTTGTGAAGGACTCGTGTAGGTGTTGTTTTGTTTCTGCCCGAGTGATACTTCATGGACGCAAATTGTTTCTCGAAAGCTGTTACCTAAATCGGGAGTTTTTGGTACAGAGAAAATGTACGCCATATTCTTAGATGAAAGTTGTACACGATAGTTATGTTGGCAAAGAGAGTGTTGAACTCTGTGCATAATCCTCCCATAAAGAAAACCACGGCGCTCAGTATTCGCACAATGGACTTGAATTTTTAAAAGCTATGACGTGTCCCTGATAGACTAAAGCAATCGGGAAATTAAGTTCAGAGTACCAGTCCAAACTTTTGAGCTCCATTTAGACATCCCGGTGTCTCAGTGGTGCTGGGAAGTTATTCCACAAAACTTTTTCCTCCAGTGGACAATGAAATTCGGTGGGCTGCAAGAATATGAGCGTAGATAAGGATGGTTTTTGGTTTGAGCACATATGCAACAAAATGCCACATTTCAGCGCAAGAAGTTTCGTTCCACACTAAAAGGTTTTGCAGCTAAGAGCATTGTGCGGCTAATAGGCACCGAAGACCACTCCATACGTGAAAGTTTTAATGAGAAATCGCCATTTGGGAGTCGGTCGAGGCTAGACTTCATGTGTATAGAAATACTGATGGCTGTCTAGGTGTAAGTTACTGCTAGCTGAATGATGATAGCTACCAACGAGAAGCTTTCCTGTTGAGGTCTTCATGGGGATTTTTTGCATGTCTGCTATTGACACTTCCCAACAAGAACGTAGCACTTGTACAGTGAAGATTTCGCCCTTTAAGTGGAGCCAGTCTCTGCTGAAAAGCCAAGAAGTACTGTGTAGCTGTTTCTGCTAGCCCGGAGGTCACGACTTCCAGAAGATTCCCGCGATGTGCACTACTGATGATTCCCAAGATGGATGAAGTAGTCGTACGATGCTTTTCGGCCCTTCAGCATAGATTGGCTTCACCCACTGGACGAATTCGTCATTAAAATTCCCATATCTCTTCTCACCAACAACAACCTGTATAGTGTTCTCAATTAGATGAATACGAGCATTATATACGCTGTCAGGTGACTTCTATTAAATACTTCAAGAGCGCATATATGCCATCCTATTTTCCAAGTGGTTCTTTCCCTGGTCGTTTAGTGGCTGAAAATCAACATTTATAGCCGGTTTATTACTGTCGATCATCGTCATCATCATCATCGACAGCATGACATCAGTGTTCAAC